GAACCGCTCAGTGAAGCTGCTTCGATTCAGAGTGCTGATGCAAAAATCCCAGAACACCAAACCTCTGTAACAGAAATGCTGACACCTTTATCTGAAAGCAGCATTGGCAGGCACTGGAAGACGAATGGTATATCCTGTACTGCAAAGAGACCTCCAGAAAGCAGCATTTCCATATTGGGCAGGAAAGTTGTCATACAAATGTCCCAGCATTTGTCTGAGAACTGTGAAGAAACACACGTCTATCCATTAGTCAGCGTTCCTTTTGGATATCACTGGATCTTGCTGTAGTAATATCCCTGATCTGGCACAGAAAAAAGCACCTGAGAGCAAAGCAGATCCATGGAATTCACATGGATTAGCCAACACAGCCCAATGCTGCACTCTTTAAAAGTCCCTGCAGAATCAGGACCCTTTAGTATGTTACAGCCATGCTTAGTGCTGGAGAAAAATACCACAATTTGGTTTGCATCCGAGTGTCAGCTCAATGTCAAAATGTATTGCGAGAAGAGAGAAGTAAGTTTTAATGTAACAATAATTTCCTCCTATTATACACACCCACCCACACCTGTCTATGGAACAATGTCTAATTGATTAATAAAGGAGAAGCAATACTTAAATTATGCTATCAGACCTCTTCAGCTTAGAGAAGCAATCACTTTCATTAATGCTGCTCTAATATTCCTTAATTTTATTCAGTATTACGGGTTCATTTACAAAACAGACATCATGATTATTGAAGTGACAATTCTGTATAAGAAGGAATTCACTGACACATTTAATTTTTACCCATCTCCTAATCATTGTCATATCAGCCTATCCTTCACTTGCTTTTCAAGCAGCTTCAGAAAAATTCCTTCCGATTGCTTCAAAGATATCCATGCCTTGTTCCTACAAGCACTCGTGAGCAAACAGAAAATGCAGCTTATTTAAAAAAAGAAAAAGAGTTTTTTTCAGAATTGTGAAGAACCTTTTCAACAAATAGGAAATTCAGTGAAATGTGCAACTGCCATCTTCTCCATACAGTTCTCTTACTTGCCACACTGTTTTGACTGGGAAAAAAGCTACAAGTTGGGAGAGAGCGAATAGGTCTCACTATTGTCTGTGACATTTATGTATGACTTGCTAAAAACCCTTAGTGTTCAATTCCCTTCTATCAGAGATCTTCCCAGCTCAAGAGAGTGTCCTTGCTTTCAAGCCACAAACTTCTTCTGGCACAGGGACCTCCTCTCCCCACTAAGCCTTAGCACCACACCCAAGCATCTCATCCCCTTGCATCCTTTTGCACAGACAAGTAGAAATGTCAGACAGAACAGTTCCAAGGCAAGAGACTTGAAGTGGTTGAATGCAGCACACCCCAGCCACTGGGACACGCAAATGTGGGTTTTCACCCTTCAGGGTTTCCCACATCCATGGTGAGTGGCTAGAAAGACATCACTTTAGATCTGAATTGTTCCTGATTTTCACTTAGAGGACCATAAATGAAAACTTCTCTGTTGAGAAAAACTTCAAAAGTTTTACACTTACCTCGAATCAAATATTTGATATTGAATCAAAAGCATTTTCCTTCCCCATTTTTCTTATTCAGCTAACAAACCAAAAGACTCAGTTATGCATGCAACCCTAAACCCAGTGTTGCACACTGATGGACCCAGTCACCTCTTCATTTCCACGGCATTGAGTTCTCTCTACCAGTCTCCATTCAGTCTATAAAATAAGTAATTTGTAACAGAAATTGTCAATGTTTCTAGAAAATAAAATCATATTCCAGAATTACTGCTCTCATTTGTGACAATTCTCACAAAGCAGGTGACCCTGGTTAATGACTCAACCACAAACATCTGCTTATCCTCCTCCAAAAAAAATGGATTAATAAAGCTGAAATTACACAGCTAATGGTGTGGGTGATCTAGTACAAAAGTGCGATCGTATTTCAGAACATTACACCTAGCCCAATTTTAATGAAATTAAAATAAATTACTACTGCTATTTCCTCAATTATTTTAAGCCACCTATGATTTCATAAACAATAACAGCAAGGATACATTACCAAATTTTTGAAAAAAAAAATTCAGTAAAGAAAGAAATATAGTCTTCTGTGTGTAACCACTGTATACAATATCCTACATTCTGACATAAATTTGAAAAAGGCAAAAAAATCTGTAATTATACAAGAAAGTTCTAGCCAGAGCAAGAAAACTACATAACTGCCAAGGAAGATCTTATTGCTGTGTAATGCCTTCCAAGAAGCATGCCACACAGTTTTTATCTGACAATGAGGAGAATGCATGAAGTATTTAAGAACTCGCCCATTTGTTACCAAAACTACTTTACCATGTAAATGAGCAAAGAGTTTTGAAATTTCCCAGAGAAAAGTATGTCCCAGAATTTGATCTAAGATCAATTCTTGATTGTTCACACAGTACTCACATTAACATTTCCAGAGTATTAAACTATTAACTTTATTATCACAACAGCGACTTATTAAAAAAGTCCAGCTCCCTCGAAACATATAAATCACTGCCTTCCCATAACACTTCAAAATGACAGAGTTCACATTACACCAAACCTGTAACAGAGTAGCTAATAAAAGAATAATTAACTCCGAAGGCTGCAACAGAGACTGAACAGTGAGTTTGTCAGAAGCACCTGGTCTTTAAACTGGACATTGGTCTCCAGTACAAACCACCACACACCACAGCACAATGTTCATTTTAGTAGCATTCTTCGGGATCAAAATGGTCTGAGGCAGCTGAGACAAGGCAGCAAGACTTAGCAGAGATGGTGAGAGAGCAAATTCCAGGATCTGAACAGTGCTGTTATTTTGCTGCAAATATTTGATATTAAATTAATCAAACTTGTGTATAATCTCAGTATGGAACAGCAGACAAAGATGAAGCAAGCTTCATTCTCTGAAACTAAATAGTTTAAAATTTAATCATATAAAGTATCTGTAAACTCCTTTTAATTCAAAACTGTATCATTTAAGGGATATTTATGCATTCATTCTTAAAGAGTCCTCCTTTATCTTCTCATTTTAGGCACAGAGCTGACATCAACATCCACATGATGGAAATCACAAGCTCCAGCACATGCTTAATTTAAGGCTCATCCAGCAGTTCCAAAATACTTCTGAGACATGCATTTCAGTGCCTTACCAAACAAGGTCTGCTTTAATTTATGACAAAACATAACTGTATATCAAAATAAACATTTCTTCAAAACCAGACAGAACCATAACTCCCTGTGGCCTAACGCCATCAGAAGAATTCAGACTGTATCTAACTCTTGAATTACTCAGAGGATTTGAAAAAGAGCTTTACTTAACCAAAACACTTCATGATTTAAGAAGCATCCAGTTCTGAAGGTTTATGACAAATTGAGAATTTGCAGATGTTGGACTTAAAAAAAAGTAATTAAGTGAAAGCACATGTTTAATTATATCTATTGGAAGAGGTAACTACAATTACTAGGGAAACTAATTTTGAGACAAAGCATTATGTGACATATATGATTACGAGAATAAAAATAATGAGCATATATTAACCGGGAGAATATCTCAATCCTGAGAGCTAAATTTAAACATTTTTTTTTTAACCAAGACAATCTGTACATTCTTAGACTTTAACACAATACCCACCTTAGAACACACGTGTAGAAACCACTGTCTTGCACCTCAACCGAGTGAAACCATATTGAATCTTCATCCTTGCTCATCCTAACTTCAGAAAATATAATGGGTTCTTCTAAATCTCCTTTGTTTTTGTACCACATAAGCCTAAGACCTGTGCTTTGGGCCATGCTATAATTAGTTCTGATATAGCTGTAGAAAAGGGCACATTTCACTCGGACTGGTTCACCTGCCAAAGCCATGTATGTCTTGAGATCCACTGACCAGTCAATGCAACCATCAACTGAAAGCAAAACAATAATAAAGAAATATTAGATACAGATATTTTTTTCAAGATAGTGAAAGGCAGCTTGTGAAATGCAATGCAATAATTACAAGACAAGAACCTTTGTTTTATAGTAATGTGAAAAATCCGAAGCAGCTATTTGGCTACTAGAGGGTTTTAGACACCTTTTTTAGTTACATACAAACACGAATGTGCAGGCAATAAATAGAGCACACTGGGCTGGCTCAATTCCATTTCTTTAGAATATCATTACTTTCACCCCCAAAACATCAATTCTTTAACAAACCAAGTGTTTTCACCTTAACCACTTGTCCCAGTATTTGAATTTTCTAATTCCTTGCTGGAAGAAAATGTACATTGGCATCTGATCCCAATATTATCCTTAAAAACTTTTCCATTGACCTCTGCTAATTAAGTTAAAAAAAATAAATAACAGATGTGACATTTATCATTTTCTTTTCAAGGCAGTTCTACAAAGCTTTTTTTTTTTTTTTCTACAGCCTACTCAAACTGTGGAGATATGTATTATATACAACAGGATACAATTACAACTGCTACCTATGCAATCAAGCTTAATACAGGAATTGTACAAATATGAAAAGGGAACTTTTGGATGTTCTGTTCAGCAAAAACTTTTGAAACTGTTTTCTTGATACTTCAAAAATGAACACGTCAGACAGGTTAGTAAAAGATTACTTCACCCTACAATTTTTTTCTCCCATTATTTTAAATCATCTTAGTTACAATATAATCCTAGAACATGCATCACATCAACAGGTAACTCCCCTGCACATATCAGAGACCTTTTAATTCAACCTTTTTTATTGCTGGAAAAATGGTAAGCCTGAAAGTCAACCGAGAACATAACCAAAGAGAAAGATTGCAAAGGCAGATCATCAATAGGCAAATACACTACCTGAAATTAATAGACTTGATGAAATGTGTAGTTTTTAGAATGTATTGATCATATCCAGCTACATGTAAGTGGAACATCTTTACCCTTGATGTACCCACCTCAGATTCAACCAAGTAAGGTTCAAGTTGCCTCTTCTGCATTTACACTACCGATTCTCAAACTCTAAGTGTGAGATATTCTCGTACACTCTTCATTTCATGTACATCGTCAACAGCATTCACTCATTAGGTGATTTTTTTATTTACTTCCTAAACAAATGCAGTGAGCCAAAATTTCTACACATGGTGCAATATCAGATTTAGTCTTTTTTTAGTGGTTTTTACTGCCTTTAAATTACATCTACCATTTTTTTTTCAGGGTCCTCTTGAATCCTTCAAAACTAACCGTGATAAATGGAAGGTTTTAACTTCCCCATTGCAGCAAGTCAGCTTTAATTGTACTGTGACCCCATGAACCATCCAACTGGACCATATTTTTAAACCTGTTGACACTGACCACTTTCATGAATTTCTAATATATAAACTTCCATGTAACCTCTTGTAAAACAAACTTTACTTGTATAATAAACTAACATGGGCTCAAGAGAGAAGGGAAACCCATTACTCAAAACTATACTTTTAATGTCTCTGCTGTCATGAGAGTATGGACAGGCAAAGGGAGATCATAGAATACCTTTGCCCCGAGTGTTGCGGATCAGGCTCCCTGCTCCTGCCGCCCACCCCAGGCAGGCGCAAACGCTGCGGCTGGTTGTGCCAACTGACTTCTTACTTCAATAACAAAAAGCCCCAAAATCAAAACATTCACCTGAAGTTAGGTACACAGCTTCAGCTAACTTTAATTTTAATTTCTGTGCTCATTTTGCTGAAAACATCCTGCTGATTTAAACTAAAATTCATTGCTTGCTTTTCATGGCTACTCTGAATGACATCAAGTGAAAGGCTGGTAGCAATTTACTGATTTCACTGCTGCAGCATCACTTCTTCCTCTGTGTTCTCCCTCTCATAGCTGAGTGCCACACAGAACAGGGCAAGTTTGGATAATCGTTATGAAAATCATGTACTGAAGTATTTGTTCTCAGTGCATCCCCTGCAGATTTATAACATCCTTTGCCATGACCAAAGCTGCACACTGTAACTCAAACATTCTCTTGCCAGGACCTCAGGAAACACAGCATTCACCTCTCTGCTATGGTGTTATACAGACACAGGCAACCAGCAGCAGAGCTGGAAAAAGAACCCAAGTCTCCCAGTCCTACAAACCCATCCAATCAATTTTTACATTAAAACCTGGTTCTGGCATCATAAACTATTTTATATAGGTGGCTTTGAAGGCTTTTACATCAAGTAGGTATCAATGTCCTCCATGCAGAGCTTCCTCACAAAAGTTCTGTGCTTTTTTTAAGCCCTGCTCTTTAGGCTGGTGTGAGTTTACAATTAAAGAGCAGTGCAGAGCTTACAGCTGCCTTCTCTCAGCAAGGGATATGAAAGGCGATGCTGAGCTCTCCAGATGGCTCATCCCCGTTCTCCAGGACATAGAGGTATTGTCAAAGGCATCCCTCCTCCTGTGCTTTAGCAAAGTCACAAAAGTCTAAGTAGGGGCGTAAGCTGAAATGAATAGGGGTGCCCAGAACTGGAATTTAGATCCAAACTAATTCAGCCACTCTAATTAATTCTGTCAATCTTCTGCCAATCTAATCCTGTCATGCCATCTAACGCTTTTGAACCTGTGCTGGTTCAGCTAAGTTAAACCACAGTAAAGAAAAACTGACATTCAGACACACATGCAATGCTTGTGGGTCAAGCAGAAAGGTGCCAGTTTTTCAGTTATTTCACAGAGCAGAGTCACAATTAGGAAGAGTTATGGAGCTAGGTACTGACCCAATATGAAAATTCAGCACTGGAAGCTGAAAATACCTCTGCTTCCAGAAAAATTTCTCCCATATCCACTCCAAACAACTTGTCAAAGCACAACTCAACCAAACATTAAGCATCCTTCAGAGTCATTCAGTCTGCCTCATCTTCCACTTTCACTTGAAAATGTCTTCTCCCTTCTAGTGTGCACTTCTATTTTATTTTCAAAAATACAACTGCTGGAGTACATAAAGCACAGTGGAATAGATGAGAGACATTTAAATGGTCATTTACAGCCAGTTTACTGGAGTGGCAAAAATCCATCTCCAGCCCCCAGTGTACAGCAAGACTGGGACCAGAGCACCGTGGCCATTGCCAGCACTCCAGCGGAGGCACCGGGCAGTGACCTGACCCCAGCCCAGCCCCTGCACCTCAAAAGAAGAAAAGAAAGAAAAAGGAGATTTACACTAGAAACTTTTTTCCCATTAACTGTATTAGAACGGAAGAATTTCAGCAGCCAGGGGCAAGGCTGACACCAACCCAGTGAGCACAGCTCGGGGGAAGGTGCAGGCAGGCTGCCTGCCCATCGCCCCTGCCTGCTCCGGCTGCTCCCCGGCAGCAACCGCGCTCCCCGCAGCACGCCAGGAGGTGGTAATTACGGAGAGGAGAGCGCACAGGGAACGGAGAACCATTCATTATAGGGTTGATGACATCTGCGGAGGGTAGAAGTCTCACTGAGTGCCTTGACTAAATCTTAATTATTGAAGAAAGACTAATCAAACAGAAGAGGATTTTTCCCCTTGCTCTTTTTTTCTTGCTAAATACACAGTCAAGAATGTTTCCTCTTATGAAGCTGTAGAGGCTAAAATCTAGGTCAAGCTCCCTGCGCTCACATGGAAGCTGGGATTTTTCCTCTTGCCGCGCTGTCAGTCACTGGAGCGTGAGCATTGTTAGATTCGTTTGGAGTATTCTCCAAGCTGTCATTACAAGTGACTGAAGCTGCTTAGGTGGAGTTTAGCACTCCATTATCCAGAACAAAGTTCGCTGTCATTTTCATTGGGCTGGCTCTCAATATGTAATATAATCAGGGTAGTAAGAAGAGAAAAATAATGGCATTAGAGAGGGGCACTTATTATATAATAAATGTATACACATCTTTTCTCTTCTACTCAGTAATCAGCTGATCCTTAATAAGTGCTTGACTGAGAGCCCGTTCAAATTAAATCCCATCCATTGTGGGTGCATTTTAGACACTTTCAATAAAGACAATTATTTGAAATACTTTCTAAAATTTGGAGTATTGAGAGAACACGGAAGACATTGTCCCATTTTTATCCCAGCTTCCTAAGGAAAAGAGGTTTGCCCATCTATGTGTCAGTCAGTCCCTCCACCCCGTTAGCATAACTTCTGTCCCAGCTGACTAAATACAATCCTATTTCATAGATCACGAAAGTGCTCAGGTACACGAGAGCAAGAGAGCCCCAATGTGTCCCCTGCAGGCAGAGAAACACCGCAGCAGTTACTGACGGTGGGGCCCCCCTGGGTCCCTCCAGTTATCTTTCCAGGCTAATGCAACCTGAGGAGATGGTGAACTGAAAATGAAAGTTTCAAAATTATTAAGCAAATTGTAGATTAAGTTGGCTGACAGTAAGTTACTGTAATTCTATGTTAGCAATCACCCAAAGTGTGTACTGTATCTCCCTCCCCAGCATTTCCTCGTAATTTCCCATTATTCTTATTTTAAATAAATCTAATTGTCTAGGGAGTCTAGATGCATTTTAACATGAACCATAATAATTTATGAGCAATTATAGAAGTGCATGTACATAGTCTCTGAGTAATTTGTCTTTCTCCTTGCTGTCATATAAATTATTTTTTGCATTGCGAATCTGCCTGTAATAATTTTTGTAGAGATCTGTCACCTATACAGCAATTTACATCATGGCATCGTTAAACATGTTTGCCTACCTTGCTACCTGAAAATCTCACTTCAAATTGAAATAATCTACAAATAAATAATTAAAAAATAATATACTAGCTAATGTCTTAAATTTATTGCTCCACAAAGCAAGCAATGCTTGTGACTGTGAATACAAAGAAAAAAAACCCATTCCTCTGATACAGGAGTTAAATTTTTATTTATATATTAGCCATAGAACAACAGACTCCAGGAACTGATAGCCATCATGCTCGGGGTTTGCAGGCACATAGCAACGACAGATGCACTCCACTAAGGATATCCAAAAAGGGATGCAAATTTTGTAGTCTCTTAAACAGGAGAAATCAGTTGCAGCCTGTGAATTTTAGGCAATTTGGTATTTTCAGATCTTGATTCTGGAGAAAAGGGAACACACCCTACGTTTGAGCAAACACAGTAATGCCTTTAATAGCTTTAGCTGGACCTGATCTTCACAAAGGGTCAAGGTGTTAGCTCAGGCTCACCATACATAATTGGTTTCTGGCTGTGCTATGCTAATTTTGCTACGGTGCACGCAGACCCCTGCCAGCATCTCGTCACAGCCCAGCGCTGCCATACGAGACCTGTCTGTCAGCTGAGCCCAGAGCCTGGTCCCCTGCCACTCTGCCTCCTCCCAGAGCCCTCCCCTGCTCCTCACACCATGGGCCAAGTCAGGGAGCAGAACCACCTAAAAACTGACAGCAACCACTCCTCCCTACCCCATCTGTGAATCTTTAAGTACTCCAATATTCAGAAATCATAGAATCATAGAATGGTTTGGGCTGGCAAGGACCTTAGGTATCATCTAGTTCCAAGCCCTCTGCCACAGGCAGGGACACCTCCCACTAGTCCAGTTTGCCCAAAGCCTCATCCAGCCTGGCCTTGAACCCCTCCAGGGATGGGGCATCCACAGCTTCTCTGGGCAACCCGGGCCAGTGCCTCACCACCCTCACAGGAAAAAATTTCTTCCTAATATCTAGTCTAAATCTGCCCTCTTACATTTGCTGGTCAGAGAACACATTTTAAACCAGTCTACTGACCACCCTCTGCACTCTTGAAAATCACAATGTCACCTCCAAAGCAAGGCAAGATCTTGTTGAGCTCCCTCAGCTTAGCTGACCTACCCAACTGGATGGTCAAAGGACACTCTCAGAACAATTAATAAAATTCCACTCTACCAAAAGACATCTGAGACGACATCTCTGACATGGAGAGCAAGTGACCCAGTTTTACAAGGGAGAAGGAGAAGCCTACGCTGGTGGTACTTCCAAAGTGGGTGGAAGGTGGCCTCCAGCAGCATGGGAGTCAATCCCAAATAGCAAGCAGGGAGGAAAGGAGAAGGGAGTTCAGGTGAAGTGTCAGTGATGTTTCTTCTCTATGAGTTAAAGTTTCACCCTTCTCTGAGTCAAGGGAACACTAGCTTTTGACTCTGACTATGCTTATATTTTAAACTGCATTTTAGAAAAGAATAGTTGTCCCCTGAGGGATATAGTAAATCAAAAAAATGTATCTGATAGAGATTAAGACCTCTTAGAAAAGCACCTTCGATCTTGAGGAAAAAAAAAACCAAGTTTATCATGATTCAAGCTGCGTGAATTTTGCCGTGTTACTCCTACTACCCTGTTAACAACTTTACCTAAATAATTCATTTCTCTCACAGTAACATCTAGATTCAGTAATCATCAGCCAAGACTATTTTGCTGTAGAAACACCACATCTAAGAAGAGGATCACTCACAGACTTTGTAGTTTCTCTACTCTGATCTCCATTTTCTGAATGTTTTCTAGCAAGATTTAGATCATTCAAACTTACTGGCAAAAAAGTTTGACACTTTCAAGGCACGTAAAACTGCAAATATTCCAAAATTCCTCAATCAAAGAATGATGAGTGCAGGAAAACTCCATTAGATTTAGCAACATGCAAATATTTCTCCAAACCTGGCTCACAAATAAGGAAAAAAACATTTACTTATCCTTGTACATTGGCTGATTTTTTTCAAAATGTTGATCAAAGCTTTAAATTTCGGTATGATGAGCTAAAAGGTTTTCAAGACTTATACATGCTTCATTCTTTTTTTCTTACAAGCCACAGCTAAACAACCCAACCAAAATGTCAAATATTCCAGCTGAACACTCATAATTTCCTTTGAGGTCATACAAACTGCAAATATATACTGCCAGAGGTCCAAATAACAACGGATTGCTCTGTCCTGACTTACATAGGCATACGGAGCCAGAAGCATTTTAGTCTTACAGTGAAAATGCAAAAGAAAGAACATACTAGTAGATCATCAATCTGTAAAGTTCTCTAGGGAGAGAAAAATACAGCTCGGTCCCCGAACAAATTCTCAGCTTCCAGGAGTGATGGCATATTAATGAGGTCGAGACTTAGAAATTGTACTTGAAGAACAAAAATGCTAAAGGAGTGTCAATAGAAGTTACTGGACAGGGGCATTTCGTCCTGAAGCACTTGTCAGAGCCAGCTTTTCAGGTGGCACCGTATCACAGGGATCTCTGGGAATGCTTCCTGATGGAGGGAAGAGCAAATCACAGCTGGCAGGTTAGATATAGCTGGAGACAGGGAGCTCTGAAACACATTCTGTGATGGAAAGGAAATATCTGGTTTCATCATATTTTTTGCTACCTCTTCCGAGTCTGATGTTCCTGGAGACAGATGGACCTGAACTGAAGTGCCCTTCCAAAGCCGTGCTCTCTGCTTCGAGCGCATGGCTCTGCTGAGCACAGAGAAAGAGGAGAGGAGGGCACTAAAGCAACTGCTTAAAATGCAGCATATTTACCCTAAAAAGGAGTGTTTGGTGACCTTGATCTCCTAATCACTTCAGTATCTGGCAGGTTTTTAAAGAGTCTGTGTTGAAGTAAACACTACAGAAACTGGAATTTATGAAGTGGTTTGGTTTTAAATATTCAGTGTAATGCCTTGGTTCTCTGTGGCTGTCACCATGTTAGAAAACAATGTAAAAGGCACCTTGAAAATCAACAGCAGTAGAGCCAGGATATGAACAATAAAGAAATCATACTCCACGGTTTTATGCTTTTGTGTATTTTGTGAAGCGCCAGACACAGGTTCATGGACTGTGCCCCAGCCTGTCCTGTCCTGCACCGCCTGGCCCCTGCCCTTCCCGCTGCGGTTCCCCTCCCTCGCCGGGGCAGGCAGACTTGGATGAGTTGTGGGAAAGTTCATTTAACAAAGCTCCTGCCTCTGCCCAGCCTCCATCTTCGCTCCCACAGAAGTAAAGGCAAGCGGGTGATCTGCAGTGAGCATGTTACCCAAACAACTGAACCTCTTTCTTGTTTGTGGATCTATAAATGAATCTTCATTTCTTCAAAGTCAGCCATGAAATACCATCACTGAATTAGCACACCTCCCTTTTGTCTTTATCCCACAAGCAAGGGAACATCATTATAACCAAAAAGTACATTGCTCTAGATTGGAGCGGTCAGATGAGTTACATGGCATAACATCTGCTTCTGGGACTGCACAAGTAACAAAACTTTCCTGTTAAATACTAAACAGAAACAAACAACTCACACACCCAACCACTCAGTGCAAACACAGGTATGAACTCAGTAAAGGCTAAATTAGCTGTTCACCCAGCTCTGAAACCCATCTGAACCCAAATATTTTTTTCACACAATGCCCACAAAATCTAGTAAATAAAAATACTTCCACTTTCTAAGCTCCAGAACAGGGAAAAATATTTTTTTCTAACATCTTCCATAATCAATATCGTCATTTTTGTTAGCTCTTTGGATTCCCAATGAAGTCAATGAATGATGGAAAAGCACAAAGAAAGCTTTCCCAGCAACTCTAACACTTCTTTGGTACACAAAGCTACCTTTAGGCAAATTAGATTGAAAAAGAAAACAAGAAGAATCAGGATCTAAGAAAAGGGAGAATAATGACTCATTTAAGCAATGAGTAAAAGAGACTGAAAACATTCTTATCCTAAGAAGATTTTGGGTAAGGAGCAACACACGAGAAATACGCTTTCTACCTGAAGGTATATGCAATTAATATTTTAAGTGGTGTTGACTATACATGAGCTCTTTAAGGACACTCTCAGAGACAGTTTTAATATTCTTCAACCAACCACATTAACCCATGGAGACTTTCACACACTTCTGCTTCCAAGTCTTTAGCACCACACAAACTTTGGGAACAAAGCTGAATTCATTTCAATAATTGATGAGTCTCTTTTCATTAGTCCCTTTGAATAAAGTTACTGAAGGTAAAGTAAATGGAAACTACATCCCAGATCAGGCAGTTGCAGTCTCAAGTAATCACACAATTAGGAAACTCTATATCCACTGCTTGTTAATCCCAGGAGGGAATTGTAGGAAAGAGCTGTGAATAATAAGAATTTAATATTAAAGAGAATGAAACTCTATTAACTTTCTGGTCCCTGTGGGGCAGAAGGACTAGTGTTCATGCACAAGATTATTTATTTTTCATCTGTTTTTCAAGTATGTGGACAGTTTGAGTTGGATTATCTGCTTTGAGGACACAGTCCTCTTGAGTTTGGAGTAGGTTAGGAAGACAGACTCCCTGCTGAATACACCAGGCCAAATTCATTTCCTCTGCTGTCTGCAGAGGGGAATCCCTGAGTGACACAGCTCTGCTGTAAGGGCTCTTGCTACATTTCACTTGTGGCAGAGGAAGACTGGTCGACAGCAGAAGAGAGCAAGGAGATGACCAGAAGAGCCTAGGGATAGTATCACACCTCATCACAAGAGGAAAGCAGGACTCAGTTATTCCTGTGGATGAGCCACACGGTGTCTGTGCAAGGTTTAAGCAATTATTCACTGGGACACCCCAGCAGGGACATTTCTGTTAGTCCAAACTCCCCATTTACCGTGGGCAACTCATGGCTGACCGATGCACCTGCCTTGGCCACAGAGCTAACCATGCATGGCCTCTGAGCAGGAGCCCAGACTCTGGGCCTCCAGAGGCCTCTCACAACCTACCTGACCCCAAAGATTCGGTCCTGCCACCAGCACAGCCCTTGCTGGTCACAACTCACAGACACATAAAAGGAGTCTGTTGCACAAATGCCCATATCTGGCTGTGCACGCTCCCTACCCTACTCATTGGTCATTTATTTTCTAGCTTGCAAAGACACAGTCATTCCATCAGAAGACTATCAAATGCTCTACCAAACTAATTCCCCATCATAAACAGATCAGGTTGAATGAATGCTTTGGGCCTTGGACATTTGCAACCTACTTAATGAACACATTGAAATGTTAAAAAAAAAAAAAAAAAAAGAAGAAATAAAAAGAGAGAATGTACAACTTGAAATCAGGACATAAAAAAAAAAAAAGAAATAAAAAGAGAGAATGTACAACTTTAAATCAGGACACACTCACAAACAGAAATGAACAAGCCAAATTCATCTGAATTCACTTGCAACAAATAACCAGCTTTGGTCATTTGCTTTGTCTCTACACATTTACCTTTGGATATCTGGGCATACTTACCATTTTACAATTGCTATGCCATTCCTCCTGCTATCTGGCACAGACAATTTCAGATGCAGTGAGCCAATTACCATTTCCACTTGCATGACAGGTGGACCTCTATTTGAAAAGGTTGTGACCCACGCTCTAACCTAGGTTGTAATTCCTCCTCTCATTTTAATTCATTAGCTGCACATATGCAGCATTATTTAAATAGGAAACCCTCCTGACTGCAGAACACACTGAATTTCATTTCAGTAAAATGAACAGTCACAGATCAAAATAATATTTGCTTTTATAGGACAATCACGAATAGAATTGTTAGAGGGTTATTTAACTAAAATGTGTCTGTAACGGATGAATTATGAAGTGCCTTCAAAATGAGATATTTTTAAACAATAAAGTTGTTCTTAAGACTTTTGCTTCTATCTAAAATAAACCAACAGAGTTATCCTTATTGAAAGCTATTTTAATTACATGTAAGAAAGAAAGATGAAGGATGATTGAAAAATGAACCATTACGAGAGCTAGACCTGTGTTACAGACGTGTCTCTCGAGGTAAAGCAGCAAGTGGCAATGCAGTACTGGGCTCCGTAACGCAGCGCTGCACGTTTGTTCAGGTACACCTTTACCATTTACATACACATGCTCTAAATCCTGCCTATTGCAACATCCTGCAGCACTGCATCCACTGGCAGCTCCACACACCTGAGCTACAGATAAACCAGACAAATTACATAACTGGAGTAACTGTTTTAACTGCTCATTCCCTATCATGCTCTTGCTCACTCCCAGTGTCTTGACCTAACCCCCAGCCATCATTTACTTTCCCAGCCTTGGAAATTGACTGCCATAACAGCTTGAGGACAAGTATTTAGTAGTATTTAAAAATGATTAATACAACAAAGCGTTGAGGCGGCTACACCTGCGTTGGCTTCTGTAGGGATTACCCCAAAGAAAATCAATGTTTTCCACTTAGGAGACCATGTTTTAATATATGGGAAATCAGTACTTAAATTCTTAAATGGAAAAAAAAAACAAAAACAACTCACAGTGATTAGGGAAGACAGGACAGAAATACAAAGCTGGATACCTTCTTCTTCCATCCATCTTCCTCACAAAGAGGGTGCTCAGTGCCAAGCCTGGCTGCAGTTATCTCAATGACTCTGAGG